TCCACCTGTGTTGAACACCAGGCTCACCAGGGGTACTTGTTAAAGATGATCTCGAAGAGGGTCCCATTGTCAGAGATCCTCATTGCTTAGGTTTATGGTGGAGCCTAAGCACTCCTTTTTCTACTGCATCACTACATGATTCTGATGTCTATCAGGGTTTTGAGAACTATTTTTCTAACGCTAACACCAAACTCAAAACCCAATCCCAGATGGAAACTCCTAGGCACCTTCATTTTATTTTCTTTATTGCTTAGTTAGTCATGGATCTAACCAGTTACTTATAACTTCTGCCTCAACTACCTTTCTCCTGGACATTCCAGAAACTGGCTTAAGAAAGAAAGAGGACACCCATGGGATAAGATTACCATGTGTATTTTTGTTTACATATTTTGAAAAAAAAATTAATGGAAACTTCACTTATCTCTTTCATGTAGAAAATTTTATTTTATTTTCAGGTTTTCAATTAAGTCATAGTACAAAATGGCATTACTCTTTCTTTATTTTTTTATACAAATCTATTACAGATGCATTATCTTATTGGACATGATGAATTATTATGAATTATTATTATCTTTTTTAGAATTTCTTTTTCCTTAAGTGTTCATAGGTAACTGGAAGTCTAATAAAGAAATAAACAAACAGAATTAGTCAGTGGAACTTCATCTCTTGCTCCATTTTGGTCCTCAGCAGTAGAGGATGTGCCAGCCTGGCAGGCCCAGGAAGTCTGGGAAGAAGTAGTTCGGGCTCATATTGGCACCTGAGGATTTCAGGTCTAAAGACCGTGGGAAATCTCCTGTCTGTTTAGCTCAGTGATCATTCAAGATGGGAAATTCTTGAGGGATCCCAAGTTCATATGTACCACTGATAGCTCTCAAATCAAGAATCTGAGGGAATCAGGAGGCTATAGTTTGGGCCTTATATTAAATTCTTAGGGCTGCTGACTGTGTGGCTTGAACAACAGAAATTTATTTTCTCACAGTTCTGGAGGCTAGAAGTCTGAGATCAAGGTGCCAGTAGGGTTGGTTCCTTCTGAAGGCCACGACGGAAGGGTCTGTTCCAACCCTCTCTCCTTGGCATGTAGATGGCCTCTTCGCCCTGTGGCTTCATCTTCCTTTGTCCATGTGTCTGTCTAGATTTCCTCTTCTTAAAAGGTCACCAGTCATATTGGATTAGGACTCAACATACTGACCTTTTAACTTAATCATCTCTAAAGATCCTATCTCCAAATATAGGCATATTCTGAGTCAGGATAGCTTGGGGATTGGGGAGGACACAATTCAGCCCCTAACAGTTGTGAATCTCCTGGGCAAGATGCCTGACTGCGGGCCAGTGTCTTCACCAGTTTGAAGCATAGTCGCCTCTATCAGATAAGGGGTTTGGGTTAGGTCATGTATAAAGTCCTTTCTGCTCTAAAATTGTAAATATAATGAGACACCAACTTTCAATTTCAATGTTAAGAATCTTAGGAATTAGCTGGAAGTTTAGCTGGTGTCAACACTGGTATCAATACCTTTTTTCCCCCTCACTTGCTTTCTACCGTTTTCCCAAGTACCCCTGTGCCTTCTGTTACCTCTTAGCTGAATTCTTAAAGAAGATCTGTGTGATGGGGGGAAGGAACACTCTTTTCTCTAGAATCCCATAATTCATCTATTTTCATCAGTCTATTTGAAATTCAGAGCCAGGGATGAAAATGTCCACATTCAATTTAAGATGTCTAACTTTCAAATAATTCTTTTAACATGCATTTCTTAATGACTTTTAAATTAAATATTTTATTTTATTTTATTAAACTTGTGTATAAGGATAACTATTGTATAATAAGGTATACTTTTAAAAACATCCGGTTCATACATAAAATAGTATTCCTGATATTTTAAGACAAATTTCCCAGAACTTATATGTGTGTCTTTTTCTTCTCAAAGTTGTCTATATGGGTGCCTAAACAATACTGCATTATTAGATTTTTTTCAGTCAGTTTATAAGCTATACAAGAAAAGTCAGCCCGTGTCCTCTCTAGAGGTATAAAAATAGACAGCATTGTGAGAAATATATCTGTTTATCACAGTTCTGTAACAGCACAATGAGATCCTAAATTATGAGATACTTTTTGTTTATCTTAGTGTTTCATTGGCAACTAGCAACTTAGGTGTTGCATTTTGGACACAAGAATCTATCAGGGAGTGGCTAATAAAGTATACTTCCCTGGTAAGTATTCTTTAAGAAAAATAAATCAAGATTTTAGCAGAGACAGATGGATTTCAGCAGAGACAGAACTTAATGGAAACTATAGTTACCAGTTTGTGGTGATTTGTATAACTTAGCTTTCAATTTCATAAATGAAAACGTTCCCTTTAGTGTGACCCATCTTTTTGTCCAATAATTTTATTTCAAAAATGAAACAGAATTTTCTTTACCGTCAAATAACATTGCTGTTATTAGTGGTGATATATTTAGTCTCAGTGGATGAAAGAAAAATAAAATAGCCTTGATTCTACTAGTTTAAGGACATATGTCCAAATTAAATGCAGGTTAATGTTTATGATGTTTGATTTAATAAAATTATAAGACTACCAAAAAGAGCAAAAAAAAAAAAAACCCAAAATTTTTATGAAGGATTAAATGCTAATAATTCAAAGATTTAGAATTTTTTTTCCACCTTTCCAATAGTAGGTAGGTTGCTATTTTCAATTCACCACCATTATTATCCAGCTTTTCTTATCGTATTGAAAAAGAATAACACGAGTAATAGATCAGTGTAGATCTTTAAGCTTAACACAATCCTCCTACCTCTAAAGTTTTCCCTTTTAACGTTTTTTATTATACAACAAACACATGTGCGTTGTAGAAAAAAAGAGGAGTTAAGCAAAATGAAGAAAAAAAAATCACTCATAGTCTTGACAACTGGAAATAAACACTATTAAATTTCGATCTGTTAAAAGATAATAATATCCTGCTGAAACATTTTTTTCTTGAAATGTTTTTATTTTATTCCCTTCTACTTTCTTCACTCCTCACCTGCTAGGATGGAATTGTCTGGAACACCATTATACCCCCTCATCAAGGGGACAATTTTTTTCTGCAGTAGCTGAGCACAGTGGCCATATTGACGAAACTCCCTTGTGGGCTCTGATTAGAAGTAAAACCCTCTTCACCAGGACCCCTGTGGAGCTCGCTGCTGCCTCACCATGTGGCAGCAGACCATTTGCAGCCAGGGTGATGCCTGTGCTCAGCACTGAGAAATCTCACTGACAGTTCCAGGCGTCTGTTTACTCATTCTTGCCATGCTGAGGGCTTCCATTTTTCAACGCCCAATTTTTTTTTTTTTTTAAGTCTTTTCCTGTTTGTTTTGAACTTCAAAAAGAACAGAAAAAAAAAAAAGTGATTTTTTTTTTTTTTTTTTAAACTTCTTTTTCAAGTCCTAGGTCATGTCTCAGGGCCAACTGCCATGCTGACTCTTTGGACTAATCCTGAATGGGAGCCTGAATTTCTTCCAGACGTTAGTTTAATTCAGTCACTGAGATGTTAACTGTATTCGTAACTGCCACGTTAGATCTCGAGGGCTGACCGTTCCTGGGAAAGTGAGGAGAGCCTGTCAGACTGGGGTGGCACCGGGGCAGAGCGTTATCTTCTGGGTCTGCGTGTCTTGCATCATTTCTTCTATTCCATAACCTGGTTGGCTATAAAAAATCATTCTTCACTGATGCTGCAGATAATGAATAAATATCCAGTTCTCTCAGTTTCTCATCATCTGAGTCAAGGGAAAAACTCCCAGGTGTCCCTATTTCTGAGCTTTAAAGGGATCAAATGCAAAGATTCTGGTATAGAATGACTTCCAGTTCCTAACAATTTGTGCATTTCAGATCCTCACCCCTGCAAGAGACTGCACTCTTGGTCACGACTGTTCTCAAAAACTCAGTGCCCAAACTGGAGGGAGGGAATCTCAAATTGAGCTTTTTCCCAAGCTTCAGGGCTGACAAATTTTGCCTTCTCTGCCAGCCAGAGCCCTGGCTTTGGGGATCTTGCTACAGTTTTCCCAGACTAAAGGGCTTGGGGCTGACTTCCAGTTCTCAGAGAAATCCTGCCAAACACCTCCCGTTCCCCCAACATCCATTTGTTTTGAAAGTTCATTATATAATTAGCATGCAGTCTTCTTGCCAACAATTGTCTGAAAATAAATTGAGTGGTTTGCATGCCTAGGTGGAGTAAAAGTAATTAGGAAACTATTTTACAAGTCTGAAACATAGCCCAGATTTGGGCCAGAAGTGCTGGGTTTGAGTCCTCTCTTAGCCACTCTTAACTGTAGGTTATTGGACAAATCATTTCTCATGCTCTGGGCTGCTTCCCTGGGGACTTGACCATTTAAACCAAGAATTGCGGACCTACTCATAATATTGTCTCCTAAATATTGGGTGAAATTAGCATACCAAGGAGAATAGAGTGCCATACCCATAGGGAACACACATATGTACACACAATTGGATATTAATATTTGGTAGCAGAACTGGGATTCAAACCACAGTTATTTTGAAATTTCTTTTTTCCTACTGCACTATGCTGCTCCTAACTGGAACTTTAATAGTAATAATACCACTTATTGGGCACTTATTTATTATGTGCCAGCTACTGCGTTAAAAGCTTTAAATGCATTATTCCATTTAATTATGACAACAAACCTATGAGGAAGAGGTTATTTCTACTTTACAGATAAAGAAACTGAGATTTGGAGAATTTAAGTGATTTTACCCACAAACACAGGGCGGTAAGTGGAAGCCAGTATTCGTGTTTGAGCCGAGTCCTGGATGCCACTGTCGTGATACTGTGTCTAGTGAGGTCTGCACTGCCATGCAGGTGATCAGCTCTTTTCTGGGAGACGAGTCAGCAAGCCCCACGTTGACTTTGCCTGGGCCGAGCAGATACCGCCCTATGGGTGGGTTACACCTGTTGACCACATTGCTTAGTTCAGAAATCAATAAAATTCTCTTCATGCCTTTCTTTTACAGATACTTACCTCTATTGCTGGATTATTGTCCAGAAGTATTAATGCCCAGGTAACTGAAATCAACTCTAAGGAGTTGGAATTGAGGAACAATGATGCTCATTCCTTGAGCCAATCATGCCAACGGCCCTGTCTTCCTGGTATGTTACTCAGAACATTCAGAGATTAGAATGAAACTCAGAATGAAGAGTGGTATATAGTCATAATGACTACAATAGTTTTTACAGCTTTTAGTTCTCCTGTATTATACAGCATAACTGAAAAAAGAAAAAACTATGAAATTATTTTCCCAAGACCAGTTTTATTCGTCTTTATCACACTCATTTGATGTGGTTATGAATAAATTCAATTTCCAAATGACAAACACATCTGAAATGAGATTTTTTTATTTATCTCCATTTTTTCATGAGCAAAAAAGGCTTACCTGCAAATATTAAAGTTTATCATATGAAAAGTTTAGAATCTGTCAAAATAATAGTGGAACTCTGAAAGCAAGAGACTTATACTCTTATGGGATATGTCTCAGCACTTTCCTTCAATCAGAAGGTATCTAAGAAACCTATTTTTCCTGGCACTGAAGCCTGCAAAATATATTTGCATTTTTTTAGCTGAATAACTAGATGAACTAGAAGAGCAACGGACAGAAACCAACAATTTTTTAAAACTCAGTACTTTGCAATGCAAACCAATTTCAGATCGGAAATCCTTCAAACACTAGCAAGCTAGAGCTAAGCAGAATGCAATTTTGCAAACTTTTTTTCGACTTGGAGTAGAGTTGGCTACCATTACATACAGATACAGATCTCTCCCAACTGCAATGTGATGTAAGACAGGAAAGTAAAGGAAAATAGCACATGGGTTCATGCTGTAGAATAATAGAACCAAAAAGTGCTGTAGTAGGTTTCATGGTTGGCCTCCTAGGCTTCAGGCAGTCAGGCTGCAAAACAGGAGGGTGTCCTATTTTTTAAAAGATTCTACCAGTCTCCCTTTGCCTCCTGTCCAGATTTTAATAACCTTTATGGAAAAATCTTCCTTATAACTCAACCCATTTGTACTTAAAGCCATTTGCACCTACTCTTCTCCAAGTTGGAATAAAGAATGGCTTTCTGGCTTTATTATAACTTGCTTAACACCATGAATTTGCCCTGTGAATTGAAACCTTTGTTTATAATTTTAAAACCTAAGATGCAAATTAAAACAAAGATAATATGCTTTGCACATCAAGCTGTCAAGGATTTTTGCCTGTTGTTTTCTGGTTTTGATTGGTTTTGTTTTCATTTAAGAAGAGATCTCATCTCAGCCCTGGAGAGTTTGCTTGTGCGATAAGAACTCTCATATACCATTATTGGAATGTAAATTATTACAGACTTTTAAGAAAAAAATTTGGATATATGGGTAAAAAATTTAAAAATGTTTATACTCACTGAGTTAGTAATTGATTTATAGGAAAATGTCTTAAGAAAATAAACCAAAATAAAGGAAAATATTGTATAAACTACGTTTCATTGTGATACCCAACGACATGGGATTGCATAAGTAAATTCTGGAAGATTCGAAGATTGGAATATTAATTAAATTATCAATTAAAGTCATGTTTTCTGATATATTTCTAATATAATCCTCAATTATATAAATCTCCTTAAGTGATTTTCCACTGATGTGGCTGGATTAACTGACTCTCTCTGCTCCCTCTCTACATAATCTGGATGGCATCCAGCCCTGTTAAACACTCATCTCACTTCAATTTCCTCCTGTTGAATTTGAGGCTTATAAATATTCAAGTTGCTTCCAAATCTGTTTATGGTCACTGGTGTTGTGATGTTAATATATAATTTAATTATTATATATAAATTAATGAAATACAAATACAGAGAAAAGACAGATTTTATTTCTATGGAAACTAGGTTGAATGCATTGGAGAAAAGGTGAGATGCTAAAAGATTGTTGATGAATTAAGTGAGGTCAAAATAAATGTAAAATAGTAGGAAAAAAATCACAAAAATCTCGAAAGCCATCCATACAGATTATTGCTGCTTTTAAGTTTTCTTTCCATCAAGAAGGGAGGAAAGAAGGAAAAAAGGAAGAAAGGGAAGGAGGGAAAGGAAAGAAGGAGGAAAGGAAGAACAAAACAAAGAAGAAATCATAGGTGAAGCGTTATGGATGTCACTTAACTGGGCAAGAATCTGGGATTCTAATACCTTGGCTTTACATCACAAGATTGGCAAATGATTATATAGTTATGCTTTATAAATTGAAATATAGTATCTACAGTATTTTTAAATGATTTCCTATGTGAACTGATGTTTTTGATTAACTGTTCAAAAAAGCTGTCACCACATCACCATATCCAATAAGAAGGATTCTACAGTATACTGCATACCTATTACATATATACACACACACACCTGTTACATATACATATGCTCATATGTATACATATTTGCATATTTATATGCATAAGAATGCAATAAAATAACAGGTAATATCTCAAGATAGTTGATATATAGGTGCTTTTTGTAATTTCCTGCCTTTTCCAAATTTGCCACAATATGCATTTGTACTATTACGCTCAGAAAAAATGTATTTTAAGATCTTATTTTCAAGAAAAGAACCACTCATTTTTTATAGTTTAATAAATTTAGGTTTTATGCTTGGGAGGAACAAACAAACCTGTGATTTATTGTATCCTTATCATGCTGTAGGCATTGTGCTAAGAATGTTTTGCAAGGTATTAATAATTCATTAAAGAGATCAACTCATTTAAAAACCAGTATAATACCACTAGCAAGAAATAAAATTGTACTTTGGCTCTGTTTTCATTAAAATATTGCTTCATTGCTATATAGCCCTATATAATGTATTTGAATTTTGTTCTGGGTTTGTTTGCTTATTTTTTTCTATGGACAGACTATTGTCTTTGTTTACTAAAATATCATATATGTTAACATTTCATAATTTGCTTGTATAGTAAATATTTTGTTTTGTCAAAAAGAATGCTATGAGGTTATGAAGGAAATCATTTATCTAGGAAAGACAGCATAAATTCTTTTTGCTCTACATGTGAGTAGAGCAGGTTAGACTTTGTCTATTTTTTAAAATTAGTTATACTATTAATAAAGTCACTAGTAATGTTTTTCTTATACACCTCCCTGTATATTTTCTATGTCTTTTTCCTATCTTCTTTCCCTAATCTAGTTTTCCCCATATCATTTTTCGCCACTTGGTATCCTATATTTATTTGCACATTGTCTGCCTTTAGCCTGAGAAGGTGAAGTCTTTGGAGGTCAAGGTGTTGTCTTATTTCCTGAACAATCTCCAACTCCTAGAAGGTGCCTAGCACACAATAGACGTTTAGTAAACTCTGGTTAAATAAATGAATTTTTCAAGAGAACGCATTGTTGTATAATGCTTAGTAATAGAAATACAGTCACTTTATTTTTAAAGTAAATTAATGCAAGCATGAATATTATTTAAAATCGTTTGTATTAAGATAACAAACCTGATAATAAATTTTGTTATAAATATGTCCATGCCTGCCCCTCAAAACTTTACCCTGTCTTTTCATGGAAAAGTAACAGAAAGAAAGGACAGCGAAAAGGGAACTGTGAGCTCTCACTAGGCAGGCTGCATGCAGTTCTGACAGCAATTCAAGAGAAGTACTATCTCCACCATATGCACAATGAAATTTAGGCTTAGAGAGTAACACTTTGTTAAAGATTTTACAGCTACTAAAGATTTGACCCAGGTCTTTAGAACTTCAAATATTCTTTTCCTTAAACTACACTATTTCTTATCAGGATTTGTGGACTTTGGAAAGTAAAATGAGAAGTCCGAGCAGGATGAATTATTATATTAATAGTTTGGTAATCTCTGTGGCCAGTAACAGCCATCCCCACCCTGAACATACACCTACCAACCTCTCCCCTATCCCAAAAAAGTGAGCTGGTAAAGGCCTTTCTTCCAGTGCATTTGGTCCTTCTGACTTTCTCCTTTTTTCGTATGCTCCTGTTGTCAATCATCCTATTTCTGTAGGCATATTCCTTCAGTTACTCTTTTGTCTTTTGTCTTGGGAGACTTTCTGGCTCTTGACATGATTTTTGCAATAAACGTCTCCCCTATTGTATTTATATATCATTTATCTAAGCCCCCCCACTCTGCACATCCCCCACCTCCCATTTTAGGAGAGTTTTATTGTCATCCCTGAATACTTCCCCCACTGTTGCCTGGCCACCTACTGTTCGAACTTGCCCCTTTTTTTCTTGGGCAGGTGAACGGAAAGCTACTGAGTACACAACTGATGGACATGAACCAGACTGTGTACCCTGCCAAGAAGGGAAGGAGTACACGGACAAGGAACATTGTTCTTCTAAATGCAGAAGATGTAGACTCTGTGATGAAGAACATGGTAAGAGTCTTAAAAAGCAATCAAAAGAGACCAATCTTGACACTCCATGTTGAATCATATACAATTTGAAATTGGGACCTGCTCTGGGGCTGTGGTGACATATATGAAGGGGAAGGATGGGGCTGGCTGGGGAAAAGCAGGACCAAGCACTGAGCTAGTCACTGGTCTAGACATTTATGAGTCAAGTCTGGGCAATTCGTGCAGATGTAAAAGAATGACTAAATATGAACCCTGGGAATAGTGTTATTCAGCTCCAATCAAAATGCAAATAATTATTTTTTTCCTGCCTTGATTTATGCTTGTATGATGGCTCTTGTTCATGGCCAGAAGGAGCTCAGAAACCTGCGGATACAAGGACAGAGAAACCCGAGAGTTGGCTGGGATGCTCCCCCTTCTTTTGGGATTTGGTTTGTCCTGACATTTCCAGTTGGGGACTTGAATTTTCATGGATATATCAATCTATTCTGAGGGCCCAGATTAAAATATAACAGAAGTACTTCTAGTTTTGCTTGACCTGGAGAAACCTCTGGACATAAAGCTTTTCTTGTTTCTATTCAGGTTCTAAAACAATGTTTCTCAATCTTGGCTGTGCATTAGAATTGCCTAAAGAGCTATTTAAAAAGCCAATGCTTAAGTCCTGCCTCGGGGCAATTAAATCAGAATCTCTTAAGTGAGGGCGTTGGCATTGGTCTGATTGAGCAAGTCTAGGATAGACCCTAAGATTCTGCATTTCTAACAAGCTCCTGGGTGAAGCCAGTGGGGCAGGTGCACCGGCCACACTTTGATAGTTAGGCTCTAGACCCGAGGAATGGGAGAGCCATCCAAACGAGGGTGGGGCTTGTCTTAGTTGTTGGATTGCCTGCCGATTTAAAACTCTGCTAAATGATTGTTGGCAATTTCAACCTGGGCTCATCTGTTTTGCGTTTAAACGCCAGTCATCTTACTAAAGGTGTGATGGTGTGACTGTTGATGTAAGCAGTGGATTTCAAAAAATCCACGCAGCTCCTGCCCATCATTTTCGTAGCCCATTTATAACTAGTTGCTATAATTAATAATTTGCAAACTGGTTTTCTAGGCTTAGAAGTGGAAATGAACTGCACCCGGACCCAGAATACCAAGTGCAGATGTAAATCAAACTTTTTTTGTAACATTTCTGGGTGTGACCACTGTGACCCCTGCATCAAGTAAGTTTTAGTTTTTCTCTGATTTAAACACTAGATATACCTTGAGAGATACCATCTTCCTGGAGGGAATCAACATTGCCTGAGAATCAAGAATTACGGTTCTAGTCTGGCTTTGCCTCCAAGCAACTAGGTGACATTTGCTCATTTAAATAATGTTGAACACCAAACATGGAACACTTCCTGTGCCCATGACACTGGCTGCTTAAGCTAATGCTGTGAACGATTGTTGACGCAATCTAGAAACACATTCCTGGCATCCAGGTTATCCGTCTAGAGGCAGAGACAGTCAAGAAAAGCAATGATTATTGTGTGTCAACATCATGTGACAAGCCTCAGAAGACACTTGTGTTCAGGGTGTTAACAGTTAAACTGGAAAACTTTTCAACTCTGCCTGAAGACTCAGGGGTGAAAATATGACACATGGCTTAAGTCTTGAAGGAAAAAAAGAAAGAGCATTAACAGGTGCACATGGATGGAAAGCACATTTTAGGCAGAGGCTGCAAAAAGATAGTAGAAGCTCAGGAGAACAGGGTACCTGGAGTGTTGGCAAGATTGAGAAGGAGTCAGAGCTGGATTATGAAGGGCCTTGTTGTTTATGCTAAAAAACTTGGTTTTGACCCGAAGTTAGAAAACCTGATTGTGCATTCTTACTTTTCTGCTGATTAACTGGGGGAATTTGAGCATATCACGTAACCTCTCTGAGCTTCAGTTTTCTTACTCATAGGGTGCAAATAATATTTACATGTTCTCTCTGCCTCATTTCTGTGAACATCAGGTTGGGTAATATGTGTTATAAAAGTAGCTTTTGTTTTGTAAGATACTGTTTTATAGAAATGTAAATATTTAGGATTACTATTCATTTGCTTCTCCTTAAACTTGTAATTCATCTTGGGAAACTTCTAGGAGTTCATCTAACAGGCTGAAGAAGTAGGGACATGATGTCTTATGTCTTCTTGGCTAAAAAAATTTTAGCCTCTTTAGCAGTTGTTCTAGCCTCTCTAAATAGTAAGTAGTGTTTAGAACTACTATTAATAATAATAATATTTCTTATTAATATTAATAGTATTAATAGTTCTAAGTACTTCATACATAATCTTGATTAATTTTCTTCTCATGATAACCTCTTGAGATAGATAGTATTATCTCCATGTTATTGATGAGACAACAAACTCATGGCAGCTAACTGACTTCTCAAGCTCACCTTGTTAAGAGACAGAGGGAGACAATCTGAAGAAAATCCCACATGAACCCTTGAGTCACGTAATCACCACTTGATGTTAAAAGTGGCAATATCTAAGGGCCAGCTGAGTAGCCTTTCTAAGCAGCATCATGGGCAGTGGTTATTGTCTGGCCATTTTATTGTTCTATGGGAATATTTTGAAATTGCTGTTGAGAGCTAATTTAAGCCCTAGTATTTAAGTGTTCCATTTATTACCAGTTTGAAGTTTATTTTTGTGTCTATTTCATGCTCTCTTTTGTGTGCCAATATTTTATTTCCTTCCTTTAACACTCTTGACATCTTAAAACATAGAGTGACTCCTTAAGATTTTTTTAATCCACACATCCAAATTATGTCATTGATTTGGACCAGCTTTAGATGCTAATCTAGAAATATTTGAGAGAATATATTTCCCGGAGATGCAAAGATGGATAAAATGGCCCCTAATCTATAATGTGCCATTGAAAATTATATAGGAATCATTCCACCAGGCTTTTTGAATTTCCCCTGTATTTTTTCCTAGGTGTGAACATGAAGTTATTGAGGAATGCACACTAACCAGCAATACCAAATGCAAAAAGGAAGGTAATTATTTCTTTTTATGGCCATATTTTCCTTTCTCCCATCCCCATGGTAAAATATGAAGAAAAAGCAATCACTTTTATTATCTGAGAGTTTATGTTGTTTACTCTTAAGGATGCTTATTTTCATATAAAATGTCCAATGTTCCAATCTGCAGGATCCAGATCTCACAGGCTGTGGTGGTTTACCCTCCTGCTCCCGATTGCAGTAATTGGTTGGAGTAAGTTCTTACTTTTGTTCAAACTATAGATTGAAGTAACTTGGGAAGTAGTTGTTTACAAAAATTTCCTTCCGTGTCCTGCCTATAAGAAAGCTACCAGTTAGGTAGATCTGCTGTATTGTTAATTTCCTGCCACTGAATGCACCCTTGAGAGTTGATAATATTGGATGATATTATCCCTCAGCTACTGTTTCTGAACAAGAGTTTGAGGGCATCGAGTGGTATTCTGATTTTTCATACGAGCAAGGGTTCTCCGTGGCAGCAGAATTGGCCCCAAATCACAAGTAATCCTTGACTATTCATTGAGATCTCCCCATGCGAAAAGAAAACACAAGGAGCAAAGGCAGTCCCAGCAAAGGCAGTGCAGGGAACAGTTGATAAACTTGTGCCTCTTCTTCCTTGACCAAACTTCATGTTTCTAATTCTCCCCCTTTCACTTAAAATGCCACGGTGACACATTTCATGCAAGGGTAACTTAATAAAGTCAGCAGATAAGCCAAAGTTGGGTATAATCATAATTAGTCTAGAAAAATCCCTTTAAATCATTCATAAAGTACAGGGTCACACCAATTTTCAATAACTCAGAAGCATCCAATTGTTCCTTCTCTGTTGAAATAATTCCTTCTTTCTTCAGTTCAGCTGAAGAGGAAGAGGTTGCCTTGCCTTTAGAGGTTATTTAGCTAAAAATACATTCTCAATATTTAAACACTGTAATTGTGCTCAAAGACTTACAGATTCCTTTCTTCCATCTCACACTGACTTCAAGGCACACACCCATTGAGTAGTACACTTGAGTTATGTGTGAGCGTGTGTACTAGAATTTCTGGGCATTAAATGCCACTTATGGCAAGTTGATGTTGACTTTCATGTTCTTCTGTGCCCTGCTGTAGCCCTGCCAACCACCTCCTCACTGGTGCTGGTCTGACAATAATTCAGAAGCCATCCTTGTGCTAGGCCAATGGGTGGTAATTAGATGACTCAATTAAGACAGGACCTATCTCAAGAACAGTTGACTCAGTGGGGTAAGAATTCCAAAATGGGCACAGCACTGCCTCCTGTGGTGTTTGGTCATCTTAGGTTTCAGCAAGTTTCTCCTTCTCCCTTCTTATACTTAGTGTGAAAATATGTTCTCATATGCATCCTACAAGGCTAAGACCTGAGTTTGATAAAAATTTCTTTGATCTTTCAGTAGTGAAAAAATACATGAAGTGCAGCAATGAAAAACATGACCGTGATGAATCTACAGCACAAAATCCTGTAGGTGTTGAAACATGCATCAGCTTTCTTGAAAAAAATAGAGAAATCAGTAATTCAGTTTTTTATTTGTTACTTTCCTTTAAACAAACATTTATTGTGTTTATGTGTGGGGCATCAACAATGAATTAAGATAGGGTGCCCTTTGGACTTGGGGGGAGTGGGGAGGCAAGGGCAATATACATAACCTAAACATCTGTACCCCCATAATATGCTGAAATAAAAAAATAAAAAAAATTTACAAATCAGAAAAAAAAAAAAATAGATAGGGTGCCCAGTTTATAAATAAGTTTCTACAGAAAAACTCTCAGAATCATCAAAGGGGGAACTGAGAGTGTGCTTGAATGTGAGTTGAAACAAGGATGTGGCCAAGCTCCGTGCTCCATGTTGGTGTTATCCCTGTAGAGGGGCACCCTTTACCAGAGCATGGATTCAGTATCCAGGCCTAAGCAAAGAGATTGCTCTTAAAGTCCGTTATAAAGTCACTGCTCAATTCTCTCCAACTGCTCGTTGACCTTATCTCTTGTCATATCTTTTCCCAGCATGGATCAGGCATTTCAAATAGCAAAGAGATACCCTGGGAAGAGAAACCAGTTCTACTTAATTGAATGATTTTCTCATTCGGGACCAGGGTTCAATGGGAATTAGGGTTCTTTACATCAATATAGTACAAAAAAATGTAGTACAAAAAATTTCAACTTGAACCATTTTCTGGTGTCAAAAATAAGAATAGTTACAGTGAAGAAAATTTTAGAATCATTATGTTTATTGTTTATTTTAATGAGTCTATATGAAAAATAATCTCAGCCCATTCCATAAATTCCTTGGGTTCCTTGATTTTGTAAAAAATAAGACAATATTGCTTAGTTTCTGGCAAGGCTGGAACCTTTCAGAATCAAAATTGCATAGTAAAGAGACCCTTCTTAATCACTTAGTCCAGTTTCCTAATTTTATACATCAAGCAACTGTTTGTACTTCCTTCAGAATTAAGGAAGAATTAGAAGATTACATTTAAAATATTCTAAATATATTTTTATTTCTCTCTCTTCCCACTTCCATTTTTTTTCTCCTCAGGAAACAGTGCCAATGAATTTATCTGGTAAGGCTTTTATCATTTTATTTCATAAAGATGGCTTGCTTTGGAGTAATGGGCCAATTTTAGAATAAAATAATGTTGCCTAATTTGAGTCACATGTTATGAGATCTTGCTATTTCTTGAGCTTACAGTTCTTCCTGCTCACCATGAAAGGTTTATCAGGCAGTTTGTTTAAACTTGTAACTAATACCCATAGTTAAAAATAAATCAGGTAACAATATGACACTGTATTCTGAGGCTTAATAGATTTTATTTCATAACCAGTTAGACATATTACAGAACTCCTGCCTAAACTGACCAAGAGGTTAAACTAGACTGTAGACTTAGTTATTATTGGTGTACCCAACTCTATAACAACATACATGATTCTGTTCTTTGATCTGTGATTCAGAAATAAGATGATCATAAACTCGTTGCTTATCCTTTTAGGTTTGTGGGTCATTGATCATCAGATCTATAAGACATGTTAGAGGTGATCTTTTCCAATCCTTTTATTATATAAATGAGAGAAGAGGATGCAGAGATGTTATGTATATAACATACAGGTTATATAGAAAGTGACTGGGGACATAGCAGGAGTCGAAATTAGAGGTCGAGCTTGTTTTGTTTCCTTTTTTCCCCAAGCAGCTCTTTAGATGTCTGGGACTTACCTGTATTCTTAAGTACTGTAAAAGGAGAAATAAACGTGGTTTTCAGTAATGGGAATTTCGTTTAGAAAAATGAATTTTCAGACTATTTTCCATTTTTCAGATGTTGACTTGAGTGACTATATCCCTAATATTGCTGAAATCATGACAATAAGTCAAGTTAAAAAATTTGTTCGGAAGAATGGTGTCAATGAAGCCAAAATAGATGAGATCAAGAATGACAATCTCCAAGAAACAGCTGAACAAAAAGTCCAACTGCTTCGTACTTGGTATCAACTTCATGGGAAGAGAAATGCCTATAACACATTGATTAAAAATCTCAAAAAAGCCAAACTTTGCAGTACTGCAGAGAAGATTCAGGATATGGTCTCGAAGGATATTACTAAGAAACAGAAAAATGAAAATGAAAGCCAAGACTTGGTCTAGAGTGAAGAACAACTAACTCAGTTCTGAGTATGTGCAATTAGTATTTGAAAAAGCTCTTAATAGCTGAAGGCTGTAAATATTGCTTGGTTTTTCACTGGGTATATTTTCTTTTCTCATTTATTAGATTTTCAGAGCCAATATATTTACAGATTTTCAATATGTCATGATTCTGCCTTCAAGAATGTTTAAAATCTCATTGGGAAGATAGACATGGGCAAGAGTAAATGCAATGGCATGTTAAGTACACAAATAGGGATGTATGCAAAGGACAAAGGATTAGGATCGTGCTCTAGTATGTGACATATGTTTCTATAGACATGAATGTGATTGGTATGTGTTAGTACACATGTCTATCCTTAGGCTCACCCCATTCCATGAATTAATATAAGCTATGTGATTTTGTTGAAATATCAGTCACTGGATAGGCCATTTTTCCTCTAAGTTACCTCCACAATAACTGTAGAGATTTTACCATATTTCTAAACTTTGTTTACAACTCTGAGAGGTGCATATTCAGATAATGCACATATATTTGAATGTAGAATTTAGTAAGGTTCTACCTCAAAGGTCTTTGCACAGATTACTGGTATTTTATTGTGCACTATTTCAATTTTGAATTTATGTAGAAAACATAGATTAAATTATAATACTTGAATATTTTATATTTGTTTGCCATTTTATTGGGTCAAAATAATCTACTTCTTTCTCAGGTGCCAAAAGCATTTTGAGCAGGAGAGTATTACTAGAGCCCTGCCACCTCTCTGTTCATTTTCTCCTTGATGTTCATCTTGATAACCTAATACACACCCAAACCTAAAAGTATCACCGAAGAAATACTTAATGATCCACCAAAAGTCAAGGCTGCCCTTAGAAATTCTAGCCTGGTTTGGAGATATTTACTGCTTTTAAAGAAGGTAGCTTTGTGGCATATCTACCATCAAAGATGATAAGATAGATTCTTATTTTTCCCCCACTGCACAAAATGTCCAGTAGCACCCCATGTGTTCTCTTCTGCTACAATCAGCAGCTTATACATAGCAAAGGTAAAATCATCAGGTTTCAGGAATGGCTCTTGTTATCTCCTGCAGGTTCTTAGACAAACAGTTCCCTTCCTTACTGCTACTTTGTTACTTACACGTTTAAAGATCTTTGAAAGTTTGTATTAAATGTGAATTTTAATAAATACTATTTATATTTATATAGATGTAAACTGAAGATAGTTACAAACTGAAGTGGATACCTAGAACTACCTAAAGAGCGTCCATTGATGAAGAAATTTTTTCCTCTTATGTTTAGAAATATAAAATATAGCTAAAAATATTTAATTAAAATAATGTTTTTGATAGTTCTGGTTATCTCTTTTTTGGTGGGGGATTGCTTTTTGGTTTTTTTTCCTTTGCTCTAACTACTGCTAAATGTAACATTTTTATGAATCTTTAATGCTTAACGCTTTCTTTGGTATCTTAGGAGGTACTTTTTTATTTTTAATTATTATGGGTATATAACAGTCGTATATATTTATTGGGCACATGTAATGTTTTGATACAGGCATACAATGTGAATTAATCAAATCAGGGTAATTGGGGTATTCATCACCTCAGGCATTTATCATTTTTAAAGCTCTTATAGTAGTTAAATAATTTTCTCCATGGGTTGCTATAGCCAAGAAGACTTCTTGCAAACACCAGATGATTATTTGTTATACAGGATTGTATTTCAGACACTGGAATGTAGATAAGAAAGTACAGATTTTAAGGAGTAGGATTTATTGGTAGGAAAGCTAAGTGATGATTTTGAAATATTCTTTCCCGAGTACTTTCCATTCAAGCTACTTGGTGACCACTGGACCATCCCTCTATTTTAAAATTTAATTTTAACAATATATTTTATTTAACCTGTTATCCCCAAAGTATTAGCATTTCAATGTGTAATCAATATAAAAACTATTAATGAGATAATTTACATTCTTTTTTTTTCCATACTAGTTTTCAAAATATGATTTTTATTTTATTTTTACTTAAAGCACATTTCAGGTTGGAGTTGCCACATTTCAGGGGTCCAAAAGCCACATGTGGCTACTGGCTACTATATTAGGTAGCTCTGGTCTATGTCTTTGTTAGGGTAGGTCTAGTAGCCTTAACTCTATCACTAGTTTAGCCCTTCTCCTAAAGTCTGGCACCTTCCTGAGGCTTTTCAGTGACGTCTTTTCACTCTAGTTGGTTTGAAGTTCAACATTTCCCACCCATACATTAGCTTTGGAAATTATTCTGCTTATAGCACTCAGTAATTATTCTTTCCCTGGTAGTTGTTCTTTGCCTGGTTCCTGAAGTCTTACCTCCACATGTACATATAGTATTCAGTTAAAGACTCCAGAGGATCTCTGTACAGATCTGGAGCTTTTTCTATATAACTCCCTTTCTTCCAATACTCTGTGTTCTGTAAAGTCCAGCAGCCTCAGCCTCCTGAACTCCCACCTCTGCTCTTCAACTTAGCAAGATTACTGTGCTTTGCACAGGGTCCCCTCCTGTGCTGTGGTCTAGAAAGTGCCTTAGGCAGAAAGTCTGAGTGATCATAGGGCTCACTTCATTAGTTTTTCTTCTCCGAGGGATCACAGTCTAGTGCTGCCTGTTGTCTAGTTTTCTACTTGTAGACAGCAGGAGGGTACATCTGGTGATAGTTATTCTTCATGGCGCCGGAAGAGGAAGTCCTACTTTGCAAGGCAAAATTGAGTTAGAGAACATCCTGCACCCACTCTGATGAGCTCCAGCCAAGAACTTTGAGTTCCTCTGGGAGGAGGACAGTTGAGAAGGTCTTTGGGCTTGACTTTTTTCCTCGTGGCTTCACCTACTGGCCCGAAGCATGGCTTCTCCCATGTCAACAATCACAGCCATGTTCCCGAATTGAGGTGGCGTCGTGGTCCAACATCATCCTCATTCTGGTTCTCTTTCTGGTTCTCTCTGTGGTATCACCCAAAGGTCTCCCATGAGCTGCAGAAAAAAGGCTATTTGCAGAAGGAAGTCACAGATCACATGGTGAGCATTGCATACTCAAACATCTTGGTCTTCCTCATTGCTACACCCATGGAGTTCTTCAATCTCTAATTTGATCAGACCTTTTTTAGCTATTGAATCATCAGTTTCTGTACAACTATCTGGATAGGGTATATAATCAATGCAATTTATAATTTTTTCTATGCTCACTCCTGAATGGTAATTTATCTGGGTTTAGAATCCTAATTTTTTCTCAGCACTTTGAAAATATTAAACCGTTTTCTTACATCTGTTGCTGTTGATGAGATGTTTGCTGTTGGTCTAAATATCATTCCTTTGTAGGTAATCTTTATTTTTTTCCTCTGATAATTTTTTAAAATTTATATTTAAATTTCAGAATATTATGGGGGTACAAACATTTTGGTTACATATATTGCCTTAATTTTTAAAGCTTCCCCTACCACTTTTCTTCTGTGTTCCACAGTTTCACTACAATGAGCTTCAGTGTGGATTTATTTTTGCTTAACCTGTTTAATAAGAGTAAAATTTCAATCAGAAAGACAGGGCTATCTTTCATCATTTCTGGAAAATTCCCAGCTATTTTCTCTTTGAATAATGCTTCTCTACCGTTTTCTATTCTCTTCTTCTGAAACTTATATTCTGTTGAAGCTTCTTGAGTTATCCTCTAGGTCTCTTAATTTTTTTTTTAAAGATAAAATTGTCACTGTTGTATTTTGGGGAATTTATCATTACTCTCTTCAAATTAACTATTTTATTTTTTACTAACTCAGGCTAGAGTATTCTATCCACTGAGGTATGCATTTTGTTTTCTATATTTTTCATTCATAATATTTCTAATTCCTTTTACATTTTCACTTGCACATGTTTCATTTCTTCTTGTTTTTCATTGACAATTTATTATAGTTTAACAGATTTTATTCCACCATTTATCTCTTTGAGGATCCTACTCTTAGTTACTTTAAAGTTCTTTTTAGAATTGCTCTGTTGTCAGTGATTTCATGCTCATTTTGTAGATTGGCTTCCCTCGTGATTTTCCTCATATCCTTTTGAACTTGGTAGGTTCATCTTGAATGGAAGATTTTTTTTCTATTCACCTCTCCTTATCTAATAATAGTTTTAAGTGTTCTTTTACTAGATCTTCCAGAGACCCCAGTTCTGAGCCAGGATTTCCAGAGATATCTTGGGGTTCATACCACTTGGTAATATCAGGGCTATCACAGATTCAGTTGTGCATCTGGGAGCGGCTTGGCTCAGCTATTGGCCATGAGGTCATGTCTAGGTCTTCCCAGCTCCTTAGGCCCATGGCTTTATATAAGCCATAGTCCCAGGCAGTGTTTGATAGTAGCTTTGTTTTAGCTGTCTTTCACAAGTCAGAAAGTTCTACCTCAGCCCCTGGTTCTAAGAAGGGAGCCTGGTTCCTGTTCTGCTTCAGGTGGCCCACATTTATTCTCCACTAGACCTCTTAGGTTGTGGCTTGTACCAGCTCACCAGAGCCAATTATTAAATTCTTAGGAATTTTGAAAACCAATTGTTAAACTGTTGGTAGCTTGATACTGTCATGGTGAGAATATTCACAGTACAGAAATTGTCAAGGGCTACAAATCAGGAATCTCCACCCCCACCCCTGCCCCCCCGCCCCCAAAGCCAGTTACCAGCACACCACTGGGTAGAAGTCGGGGTTGGTTGATTCAGTGGCTCAATGGCATTTTTAGGAAGACAGGATCCTTTTCTAGCTCTCCACTCTGCAGCTACAAAATTCGCTTTAGACGAGGGCTGGTTTCCCGCATGGTCATAGAATGGCTTTATCAGTACATCAGCATCATGATTCCTCATTCATATCCAACAGCAAATAAAAAGAGAAAAATAGGAAAAAAATCTCCCCTCAGATATGGATCATATATCTGGCCTTTTAGTATGATTGAGCCAACTTTAGTCGTTTGCCTATCCATGTGGTCTGCCACATGCTGATTGGCTCAGCAACTCGAATCCACCTCTGGAGCTGGAGACAGGATTAGTTTCTTCTAAGTTTTGTGAGTTACAGGAAAAGCTAGACCAAAATTGAAATTCTATTAAGAAAATGAGAAGGTAAAATGGATGCTGGATAACGTCCACTATGGAAGGAAACCAACAATATTTACCACGTGTATTCTCTATGTCCCTCGACAAGCTGAGTAAGCATTTAAAGAGAAACTGGATCCTAGAACAAAAGGAAGTCTGTTATTATTGGCCTTGCTATGTTTAAGAACCCCTGAAAAAGATACATTGACTTTTTTATGAAGTAGCCAGAAATCTCCAAGAATTTTTACACTTTTTAAATGACCCTCAAATGAGTCTAGGTCAGCTCATGGCAAGTGTAGATTGTCTTTGGTTGGATTCCTCCAAAAGAAACCCTGAGACAAGGTTTAGGTGCAAGTGATTCATTTGGGAGGTGATTCTGGGAAACATGGTGATGGGGTTGGAAGGTAAGGCAGGGAATAGAGAAAAGCCCATAAAGCAAGCTGTAGACAAGTGAATTCCATCCTTCTGGGGGCCCTCTGAAAGGCTGTTCAGGACACACCTCAACATTGCAACAATGAGCCACAGGGAAGCTGAGTCTTGGTGCTGACTTCACCTTTCTGTGGTTGAGGGACCTTTCTAGAACCTCAACTTCCTAATACCTCTGGCCGATCCTCCTTCCCGTGGCTTTGGTAGCTTGAGAACAGACACCTTTAGGCAGAGAGACGCAGGAGGCCATGTGCCCCATTTGTTAGCAGGGGGTCTCCGCAGGATCGAGGGTTTAATAGTGTCTGTCACAGAGAGCAGGCTGTTGAGATGGCCCCATATAGAAAGACTAAGCCATCTCGTGGGCTAACTCATTCTGAGTGAAAACGGTACTGGGCATGTTGAATCTGATTTAGTCAGAATACTGGTTGGTGACAGGAGAAAGCATTTTGAATATTGATTGTCATCTATTGCTTAAGCTTCTTGCCGGCTCAGTCCATGGATGAGAGCCTGGGTCCTAGGTAAAGAGAAGACAAAAAAAATTGAAAGAGCTGTTTTACTAAGCCAGGTGAAACACTGGTCTCCCATCCCTGTGGCAAAATACGGTGGAGATTTATCTAGGCATCCACCCCTCCTTTCCTTTCCCCCTTTCTCTCCCCTCTGTAGCACATGCTTATTGCCAAACCACCCTCCTGCTTTGGCACAATGAGAACTCCACTCTGGTCCGTGACTGAAGCCACTTTCTGTGGAATTCCTGCC